CATTTTACAGCGGAAGAAACTGAAGCACAAAGAAGTCAAGTAACCTGCCTAAGGTTAAACAGCTAGTAAATAACAGTGTTAGAATTTGAACCAAGCAATAGTAAGCGCTGTATTACAAGGATGTTCATCACACACAGGCTGTTTTTGAAAGTAAAAAGGTAAAAATTATCTAAGTGACCAATAGAGAGGAATGATTAAATCCCAATATAGCCCTATCTAATAAAATACAAATTGGCCACTTAAAATTATTATGAAGTGTATTTGTTGACATGTGAATACATTCACAATGCATTCTGAAAAAAAGAGGGTTACAAATATGTTCCGCAGTATGTCCCACTTTTGGAAATACATAAATGCCAAAATACTAAGAGGGTTTGTCAGTAGTTGGATGGTATTGTGACCATGCTTTATTTTCTTTTTGCTTAACTGTATCTTCTGATCTTATTGAAAAACAGTACTTCTCAAATTTCAATTTTAAGTGTGCATAGAATCACATAAGGCTCTTGTTAAAATACAGGTTCATTTGGTCTGAGGTGGGGCCCAAGATTCTTCATTTTTAATGAGTTTGCAGGTGATACCAATGCTGCTGGTCCATAGATGACATGTTGAGTAATAAGGCTATAAGCAATAGGTAATAAAGCAAAAAAAAAATTACCTAATTCAAAATAAAATGAAGAAATTGGTTTAGAAGAATAGAGCTCTTCTATTTTAGATAATAGATCCTTTGGAAATCTAAGGAGAGCTGTGACTTAGAAAAATGCGTGTATACAAATTTTGCCTGTGATACCAGTATCCCAAATTAAGATGCATTTGGCGGTCCTAGCTTCAGCTACTTTCAATGTAAAATCTAGTCACATACTATGCACAAAGTAGGTACAGCTGGATAAATAATCTCATATTACTGCATTTCATTGCTATATTCTCAGGTTTTTTTGGAGAGAAAGGCAAACAAATATTTAAATTAATTTAAATTAAATCATCATTGGGTTGGCTCAGGATACATCTAAAATCTTAATATAAATTTCCCTTTCACAGCTGCAAAGATTTCCCAAAAAATTGATGAAGCAAATGCTAAATTAAAGAAACATTGGCTTCCTCACTTGTCAGTCTCAAGTAAGTTTCAAGAAAACAAATCAACACAATAACAATCCAACTCATTTTGCGTCAATAATTACATTATTATAACTAACTTCTAAATATTCCCTATGTGTCAGCTACTGTGCTAAGTGGTTTCTTAAGTGTCTGGTATTGGCCTTGAGACATATAATTTATTTTATTAATCCTCATCACCACCCTATATGGACAGTATTCTTTTCCTCATTTTACAGATAAGAAGATGATTCTCATAGGAATTATCATTTGTCCAGAATGAAATTCTCAAATGGAGGAGCATAGACGCAAATGTAGGTAAACGTTTTGTGGTAGATACAACAGAATAAAAGATGTCCACGTCCTAAACCCCCAAACCTGTGTATATGTTACTTTACATGGCACAGGGGATTTAAATTAAGGATCTTGATATGGGAAGATTATCCTGGATTATCCTGCAGGGTAGTCCCAGTGTTATCACTGTGGTCTTTAAAAGGAGGCCACAGTGAGAGAGAGAAGAAAATGTGAAAGTAAAAGTTCAGAGGGATGCAGGGACGATGAACCAAAAAATGCAGACAGCCTATAGAAGTTGGAAAAGTCAAGGAAACAAATTCTCTCCTACAGCCTCCAGAAGAAACTCAGTGCTGCAGACAATTTAAGACTTCTAACCTTTAGAACTCCAAGATAATAAATGCATATTGTTTTAAGCTACTAAGTTTGTGGTAATTTGTAGAGCACTAACAGAAAATTAATACATGCTCCAAAGTCATAGGCTTTCCAATTTGGTACACTTCATTTATTATTTCAACTTGTGTAAAATTGGGTCTTGGGCAACTCTATATTGTAATATAGCTCATTAGATGTTTATAAATTAACTCAGATATTTATAACATACCATATTAGAAGAAAGAGTCTTTGGGAAATGATTTGATCTGCCCTAGGTAGCAGAATTCCTAGCAGATTAATTTTTTTAAATAACAGAAAAAAATATACAGAGTTTCATTGGAAACAATATAAATGTCTTTTAGTAAGGATTGGCGATATAAATTATGATATGTTCATACATTGTAATATACCCACCTGTTAAAATTGGTGATATAGATTTATATTTATTAACATTAAAAGATGTGCATCATATTTAGTCAAGTGAAAACAAGAGGTTAGGAGAGTTTTATGTATACAAAGCTCAGTATAAATGGTAATATGAAACTTAAGCTTAACCAGTAATATAGATCCAAAAAGTCTTAGAAAATACAAACTAGTACATTAATAGATATAAACTCTGGGTGGTAGTTTTCGCTTTCTAAAATCTTTCAGTATATTTAAATGGTTTTGAAATGTTTATTATTTGAATAATTACAAATAATAAATAAAATTATTTCTAGTTTGGAAAAAGGAACATAAGAATACCCTGTAGTAACAAGCAGGAGGTAAAATGGAAATTTTTTTCATATTCTGCTGGTGAGAATGAAAATTGATTCAACTGTTTTAGAAAATAATTTGTCAATAGATGTCCAAAGACTAAAATGTTCACATAGTTTGACTGAATAGTTCAAGTCTTGGAAATCTATGCTAGGGAAACAATCCAAAGTATAGAAAATATTTTTCATGTATGCACTAAAATGTGTATGGCTCTATTTTTTATAAGAACAATGGTGTAAGAATGATTTAGTAAACTTTTATGCATTCACAAGATGAAAGCTTCTGCAGTAGCTTTCAATATTGATTATCAGGAGTGTTTAATAACTTGAAAAATACTTTTGGCCGGGCGCGGTGGCTCACGCCTGTAATTCCAGCACTCTGGGAGGCCAAGGCGGGAGGATCCCTCAAGATCAGGAGTTTGAGACCAGCTTGAACAAAAGTGAGACCCTGTCTAAAAATAGACCCCTCTACTAAAAATTAAAAAAAATTAGCTTAACAACTAAAAATATATATATATAAAAAATTAGCTGGGCATGGTGGCACATGCCTGTAGTCCCAGCTACTCTGGAGGCTGAGGCAGAAGGATCGCTTGAGCCCAGGAGTTTGAGGTTGCAGTGAGCTATGATGACACCAGTGCACCCTACCCAAGGTGACTGAGCAAGACTTTGTCTCAAAAAAAAAAAAAAAATTGTAGTCAGAATGTCTCAGCTAGTGTCTTTTTGCTTTCCTGCCTATCAACCAAAGAGGGCAATTGACTGTGATGCCAACATTCAGCTGGAAAGAGAAACCAACAGAGCCTACAGGAGGCAGGCTCGTGTCCTGTTATGACAAGGGTACTGGGTTTCACCCCCATCTCTGTTACCTACTACCAGAGGACCTTGAGCAAAACCACCAATCTCTCTGAGATTCAATTTTCTCATCTGTAAAACAGGATAATCATACTTGCCCTAACAACTTGACAGAGTTTCATTGGAAATCAAATTGTGTGGAAAGCACTTTGAAAGTCATAAAATGCAATATAAAATATATACTATATAAATATATACAAATAAGTATAAATATATAATATAAAATTAGACTATTATAACCCACAAATAGAATTCTAAGTGCCATAATGATTTGTTTTTTTTTGTATTAGGAAAGCCTCAAAAACCTTTATTTTGCAACAAGATATATATTATTTTACAGTGTTAAAATCTAATTGGGAGGCCATTAGACTGAGGAAGTAAAGCAACCAGCAGCCCTAGTCTAAATAGAGGCTAATTCCATTCACGGAGTTCTTTTCCCCAGAGCAAGCAGCGGGGATAATACATTCCCCAGAGGAGTAAGCTCCTCATCCCCAAATCCTGGCTTTCCCACCCCACCATCTCGGGAAAGCAGGAGCGAGGCACGTGAAGAGATCTCAGAACCTGGCCTTACAAAGCATCCACAGGCTTAATGCCATTACATAACCTAAACAGCTTTCTCAACGCCGAGAGTGCCACACCAACACCCTGTTAACAAACTCCTAGCGGACAAGGGCGAGAGGCCCCGCCCCGGACTCTAAATCAGCCAATCCAAACTTCCAAATTGGGAGCATCGGCAGCGCGGTGCCTTCTGGGGTCTATAGGCTCCCGAGTTTAGGCTTTCCTCCCTCTGGAGACTACAATTCCCGGCAGCCACTAGGCTGCAAGGTCCGCCCTCCTTCTGGGGGAGGAGCCCGAAGCATTCGGGACGGCTCTCCACGCGTCGGGCCGTGGTGGGAGAGAGGTGGGAGTGGTCGGGCGGTGAGGACTGCGATTCCCACGTGGTGGGTTTCTCCAGCTAGCCCCTACTTTGGTCCTGCTTGACTTCCCGGACCTGTGTGCCCGCTTCCTGCAGAGATGCCGAAGGTCAAGTCGGGGGCGATCGGCCGCCGCCGCCAGCGGCAGGAACACTGCGGGGAGCTGAAGAGCGCCGGAGGTGCGGAGCCCCGGGAGGAAGCGGGGATCGGGTCCGGCCTTCCGGCGGGACCAACCCTAGGGTACTGACCGAGGCCTGAGCGGCTGCTCGAGGCTGGTCGGAATCCGCGCTCCCCTGGGCGCGTAAGTCCGGGGTTCCCAGAGCGCGGGCCGCGGACCCTGCACTCCGCCCGGCTACCTTTCCAGCGGAAGGGATGGACTTCAGGCATTTGCTAGCCCCGGGCCGGAGCTTGACGTTTAGTGGCCCTAGTTGGCGCAGAACTCTAACTCCTACCCATCCTGCTTTCTTTCCTGGGACAGTCTAGTATCTCATCTTAGCAGAGAAATTAAAGCTCTTTCGTATTTTCTTCCAGGACTCATGTTCAACACGGGGATTGGGCAGCACATTTTGAAAAATCCTCTCATTGTTAACAGCATTATTGATAAGGTGGGTGTGGAAGAGGAAAGGGAGAGAGTTGTTGGCTTATTAATTTTATTCTTGGGAATACTTAAACGCAGAGAGGATGCCTGGCATAAAATAGATAACTTTATAAATATTTGTTGACTACATTAAAAGATTGTCTGGGATTTGTAGGCTGTCTTGTGCGTGATAAGATTCATTCTGTGGGTCTGGATTTCTCCTGGCCCCAAATTCTTGGTCTTTCTGTGGATTATCTACTTCATAGCTGGACCTTTGTACTTGTTCAATTCCGGATTATCATTCTTCTATTACTAATCACTTTTTTCTAGTACCATATCACTTTTAGTTTTTATTTGCTCCAGAGTCTGAAACTTATGTCTAAACCATACATTAGGAAGTTTGTTCCCCAGAAGAACTTAGAGTATTGCATATAAATTAATTTGGCATATTCCAGTGCCATACATAAATTATTTGGAGTATTCCTCCTATCTGGTTTTTTGCGGTTCTCTTATTGATATGGATGGTTGGGGTGCTAGGAGGTGAAATATACGTGGCTTAAATGCCCTTAAGGGTTACAAGCAAGGGAAGCATCCTGGAGCTGTAGAAAGAGCATTAAAGGATCTTATCAGACTTAGTGTAATTTGCAAAATGCGGGTTGGCCTAATTTTTTAACCTTTGTAGCTTATGAATTTCTTTGAGCATCTGATGAAAACTATGGACCTAGAGTATTACAGCTGTTTGCATACAACCAGTTTTGTGTACAGTTTCTCACACTCCTGCATCTCTGAAACCAGACATGAGTTGAAAATTGAGAAACTCTGCCCAACATGTACAGTCTTTTCCCATGCAAACTTGTTGATATGAACAGAGTTGGTAACAAGTAGCTATTGAAATCATTTCCAAGGAAGAAAGCAGAATGCCAATCCCAGAAAGAGCTGCTATTCCCGCTTTTGTGACTCCTAAAGTTTGAGTATTCCCACAAATTAGGAGAGGTCTTAGATTTTCATTTGTACCTAATGTTATTGAGGTAACTTTGTTCACCACATAGATCATGAAGAAATCTAAAAATGGAGTTGGAGTAAGATTTCTTAACCAAGTACTTCCAAGCAAAGATGTTTAGGTATAAATTAAATTATGTGTTCAGATGCGCCAGAAGAGCTAAAGTGGTTTTGCTTGTTTTTAGGCTGCCTTAAGACCAACTGATGTGGTGCTGGAAGTTGGACCTGGAACTGGCAACATGACTGTAAAGTTGTTAGAAAAGGCAAAAAAGGTAAAAAGATGATTTAATGTTTTGGTATCAGAAATGACTATGCGAGTGAGCTCATCTGGTTTACAAATGTAAATCTGTTTTAATTAATTGCTATTATTTTAATAGTAACTCTTAATCCCTTGCTAGAAATTTTATTTTAGAAAATATATTTTAGTCAGGAAAACAAACCACATTAGGTATTTCAACAGTGATTTTAATGTAGGGAATTGGTTACATGTTTGTTAGAGGACTAAAAGAAAAAAATAGGGACACTGAAATAACCCCAAAATAATAATTGCAAAGAGCAGCTACCACCTCGAGGCCTGGGGGAGCAAAACCAAGAGATTGGAATTGTTGGAATCCAGAACTTTGGAGGAAGAGACCTGCAGAGCTGGAGCTCAGGTCTCTGAGATTGGGTACCACCTGGATGTTGCTGGTATCTTCTTTGTGTCTTGGCTGACCCAACTTCCACTTAAATGGAACCATTGTTGTGTCCTAGCGGAAGCAAGCAGCACATTTTAAAGGGTTTATCTGAAGAGAGTTTAATGAAGAGACTGTTATGGACATGTGGGAGTGGGGTTAACGGACCCAGTAAGCATTAGTGAAACTAGTGACTAGCCACAGCAGGAGACAGTTACCATCTAAAGGCCTCAGCAGAAGGGCAGGAAACTGTTACTGGAGCCCAGTGAGAGTAGGAGCCATGGAAGAGGAGCCACTCATAGCAGAATATTGCCACTGCCAAAACTTCTGCAAGACATGAGGCAGGAATTAGGAAATAAGTAGCCAGCCCCTCCCCTTGTGCCTTTCACTGGCCAGCCCAACAGAAGTCAAAGGGTCAGGGAGCTGGACTGCATTGCCTACGGGGCACAGAGAAAGGTAGAGAGTGGATTTGGGAGCCAAACAGAATAAGCAGCACATTTGTCGACGCTGTAGATGTAGTCTTTTTGGAAGTCAGAGAAACCTTACCTGAAATTGCAGTAAAATTACAATTTCAGCCTTATTTTGACCTTATGTGGTGTGTTTTCATTTACTTGAGAATTTATGTCTGTTACGTATTCTGGATCCCAGTAGACGAGAGAAGTGATACACACATTCTAACAGCAGTTGCATTGTGTGCTCCTGCCTAAGAACACTGACTACACAGACATAGTGTGTATTTTTTTCATCATCTGTTCAGTTAGAAAGCATGGAGACAGACAAAACATGGTAATTCTGTTGAATATTTAGGTAGAACTCATAATCTGGTCATCTACTTTTTTGAGTGGTGTGTTTGTTGTTTAAAATGGGGGAGTACAATCGAGAGACTATTTCCCAAGAGTTGTAGAGTTGCTAAAAAAAAAAAAGAATATTGAATATTGATGATAGACTTGGGAAAAGAAATTTAAATCATGTAAGAATTACTATAGGGATAATAAGAAAAGATTTATACTCCATAATTAACCTAAAGAAACTTTTTTTAAACAATTTAGGTAGTTGCCTGTGAACTTGACCCAAGGCTAGTAGCAGAACTACACAAAAGAGTTCAGGGCACGTGAGTATACATAATAGAATTAAAGTGCATTTCAATTTCATGAAACAACATTCTTTTTAAATTTCTTCTTTTTTTATCAGGCCTCTGGCCAGCAAACTTCAAGTAATGGTGGGTGATGTGTTGAAAACAGATTTGCCATTCTTTGATGCTTGTGTGGCAAATTTGCCTTATCAGGTATGTCCTCAAATTGTCAGGAACATCATACTAAGTTTTCGTCTGGTGTGTCTCTCCCAGAAGTAACTAGTTAATTCTCTTACAGATCTCTTCTCCTTTTGTCTTCAAGCTGTTGTTGCACAGACCTTTTTTCAGGTTTGTAACAAAAGACCAGAGTTACTGCCAAATTTTAAAAAGATGGACGATTTAGGCCATGAATACAGCTGAAAATGAAAGTCAATTGAGAAACTACTGGGGAATTTTTGTGGAAAATATTCATTTGTATGGAGGTCTTTTCTCTCTCTCTTTTTCAATTGATAAAGGTTATTTGTGGGAAGTATGGTATAGGTTCTGTGTCTGAAACCAGGCAGCTTTTCCCTATTTTTTAATCTTGCCATTAGTCTAGGTCAGACTTTTTATTACCTATGTCTAGACAATTGCAGTGGCCTCCTAACTAGTCTCTAGTACAAGGGGTCTTCAGAAAGTTCATGGAAAATGCATATTATGAAAAAACTATGCACAGAATACACGGATTTCTTTTCTTTTCCTTTTTACATATATAGATAAGGTCTCTCACTGTTGCCCAGGACAGTGGTGGCTCACTGTAACCTCGAACTCCTGGGCTCAAGTGATCCTCCTGCCTCAGCCTCTCGAGTAGCAGCTGGGACTTCAGGCATGTGCCACTATGCTCAGCTAATTTTTTTTTTTTTTTTTTGTAGAAATGGCGTTCTCACTATGTTGCTCAGGTTGGTCTCGATCTCCTGGCCTTAAGCAATCCTCTTGCCTCGGCCTCCCAAGTAGCTGGGATTATAGGTGTGAGCCACCGTAACCAGCTCAAAAGCAGAACTTCCATTAGAAATTTTAAACAAGTGAGATCAATAAGCATTTCTTCAAAGAATTATAAGAGTAGATGAAACAGCTTTACCAGTATGATCCTGAAGACAAAGCACAATCAAAGTAGTGGCTGCCAAGAGGTGGAAGTAGTCCAGTCAAAGCAAAAATGGACTGGTCAGAAACATAGGTCATGGAAATACTTTTTGGGATGCTCAAGGCATTTTTCTTTTTTCTTTTTTTTTTTGAGACAGTCTCACTCTTTTGCCTGGGCTAGAGTGCCGTGGCGTCAGCCTAGCTCACAGCAGCCTCCAACTCCTGGGCTCAAGTGATCCTCCTGCCTCAGCCTCCCGAGTAGCTGGGACTACAGGCATATGCCACCATGCCCGGCTAGTTTTTTCTATATAGTTTTTTAGTTGTCCAATTAATTTCTTTCTATTTTTAGTAGAGATGGGGTCTCACTCTTGCTCAGGCTGGTTTCGAACTCCTGAGCTCAAACAATCCGCCCGCCTCGGCCTCCCAGAGAGCTAGGATTACAGGCGTGAGCCACCGCGCCGGCCAAGGCATTTTTCTTTGACTTTCTGGAGGGCCAAAGAATAATAACATTTGCTTATTACGAGAAAGTTAATCAAAGCTTTAGCATAAAAATGCCCAGGAAAGCTTTACCAGAGATTCCTTTACCACATCAGTGCTCCTGCTCATTCCTCTCATCAAACAAGGGCAATTTTGCAAGAGTTTTAGTGGGAAATCATTAGGTATCTTACAGTCCTGATTTGACTCCTGAATTCTTTTTGTTCTCTAATCTTAAAAAATCTTTAAAGGGCACCCCTTTTTTCAGTTAATTAAAAAAGACTACATCAAACTGGTTAAATTCTCAGGGCTCTGTTCTTTAAGGATGGACCAAATGGTTGGTATCATTGCCGATAAAAGCGTCTTGACCTTGATGCAGCTTACGTTGAGAGATAAATCTTATGTTTTTTATTTTTCTCTTTTAATGCCATTTTTCCATGAGCTTTTTGAAGTCTCCTTGTACGGTCTATACTAGTGGCTTTCAAACTGCAAGTCAGAAACCCCTTAGTGGTAATAAAATAAATTTACTGAGTCATGACCATCCTTTTTTTTTTTTTCCCAATGACGTAGAATAGAATATATCAGAGGGTATTGCATGTGGTCCAGGTGATTATAGTTTTAGGAAACTTTTGTTTTGAAACAACAGTATATAAACACATATAGATATCTGTGGCCTGGGTTGCAATGTCAAATGTATTTCTTGGTGTGACTCGTTGTTGAAAAAGTTTGAAAGTCAAAATGCAGCTTTGAAGTAGCTCTTCTCTTGTTCGTTAGCATCCATAAAGCCTCCCCATTGCTTGCCGGTAAAGCTTCCACATCTTTCATCCTGTTAAATCCTGTGGTCCTAGCTACTCGGGAAGCTGAGGCAAGAGGATTGCTTGAGCCCAGGAGTTGGAAGTTGCAGTGAGCTGTGATGATACCACTGCACTCACTCTAGCCCAGGCAAAAGAGTGAGACTCTTGCTAAAAAAAAAAAAGAATATTGAATATTGATCACAATCAGCTTCTCCAGCTTTACCTCTTCCTTAAGGATGTTTGCTACCCCATGAATATAATTCTATTACTGAGTCAATTTTGTTTTATTTTTGTTTTCATAGAAGGGGGTGATGGACTAGTGCCGATTTGAAATACTTCCTCATCTGATCATTGAGGGCTTACATATGCAAGCCATCTTCCTTGGGGTTAGGGTGTGGCCATTATAAAACAGAAAACAAAGCCAGCTGTCTCATTTTGGAGTAATAAAGTATTCTTCTGCCTTGTAATTAGCTGATTATTGCTTTGCTCTCGATTTCTCCCAAGATAATTTATTACAGTTAAATTACATTTAGTTGAAAGTGACCATTTTCCTTATTCCTTTCTGCTTTCTTTTCAGATGTGCTATACTTATGTTCCAAAGAGAATTTGCTCTCCGACTGGTTGCAAAACCTGGAGATAAGTTATACTGCAGACTTTCAATTAACACACAGCTATTAGCACGTGTGGACCATCTGATGAAAGTAAGTGATGTTTGTTATTCAAATAATCTAGCTTAATTTATCTTTGAGCATCTAGCTGTGCTTTCTGTGAGAAGAGCATCTTTGATTACTAACTGAAAGTTGCCGTTGAGAGTACCACTTAAATATTTTCTGATTAACAGGTTGGAAAGAATAACTTCAGACCACCACCCAAGGTGGAATCCAGTGTTGTAAGGATAGAACCTAAGAATCCACCACCACCCATCAATTTTCAGGTGAGGTTAAAATAGTAGGTCATTAAATAAAGGGAAAAAAAAGTCCCAGCTAGAAGATGTGTGTCTATAGCAGTAGAAAAATATTGAGTCAACCTAAATATCCAAACATAGGAAAATGTTAATTATGATACATCCCCTGTGATGGAATAGATGGAATAATTTGATACAAAGTAGTTACGAAGTCCACTAAACGGCATGGAAATGTTTGTAAAAGGCAAAAAGATTAGAATGCAGTTATATTTCACTTGGATTATAGCTGTGGAAAACATGTTTCTGTTTGAATAAAACTTGGAAAACAAAATGAAAATAGTTGTTTTAAAGTAGTATTGCGGGTAACACTTTTTAATCGTAAATCTTGTTTTTCGTGATTCAAAAAGAGAAGAAAGCCAGGACACTTGATGAAAAACCTTTCTATAGTCACATTAGAGAAAAACATGATTGTGTAGTCAGCTGGTAGCAGGTGGAGTGGTCTGTCGGTAACTCTTTCAAGGAAGTTTAGGTGTGTTGCACAGGCTATCTCCTAAATCATGCCTGTTTTGAGTCTTATTTTTGAAAATGATACTCAGATCTACATAAATGCCATGTTGGGTTTTTTTGTTGTTGTTGTTACCAGGCTAGACTCAAACTCCTAGGCTCAAGTGATCCTCCCACCTCAGCCTCCTGAGTAGTCATGTGCCACCATGCCTGACTTTATTTTTTCCAGTTTTTAAAAAAATTGAGGAAAAAATAAATATATTCATTGAAGTACACCAAAGTGCAGAAATCTGGTACACATCTTACTTTTGCATATATATTAATATGTGTGCCTACCAGATCAAGATGTAGAACATTTTCAGAACTCCAGAAACTCCTCCAGTTTTATATATTGACAAAACAATACATAACAGGCATAGACAAGAGGTTTATATTTTGAAGAAAACATCACTTTATATTTCAGGAATGGGATGGCCTCGTAAGAATCACCTTTGTTAGGAAAAACAAGACTCTTTCTGCTGCATTTAAGTAAGTATTTTACTGATTTGTAACGTACAGAGGACCAGTACTCCAGATATTATGGTAGAATTTGGTCCTTTTCCTGAACAGCTACCCTACACCATAAAGATTATCCATGTCTAGAAAAACTTCACCTTTTTAAATTTGGACTTGGGGAGGCAGGAGAATTTAACAAAGAAAGTTCCTGGAGTTGGCATTCAGATCAGGTTTTTGGCAAAACAGGAAAAAAAACCCCAAAACTCTGACCATACATCTGCCTAGGTTTTTGTTGGAAAAATTGGGTGATGATCGACCCCTTCCACACTCGCGAAGGATTTGTGCCATTTTATTAATTTGGAAAAATTTAACATACCAATTTGGAGTTTATGAGAGCCAGTTTCAGAGGGTTTGGATTTTTTTTTTTTTAAAGGGGACGTTTTGTAGAGGGTCTAGAACTTACCTAAAAATTTAAGAGATGTTTATCAGGACTTTACTTTTTAAATATAATTAATGTTTCCTTCATATGTTAAAATATTCAACACCTTTTAAAATTCCTTAATTTTACCATAAGGACCATAGATTTAATCTCATCTAAACTGAAAGGAAATCATGTGTAATTTCTGAGGAATAATAATCTTTATGCTATAGATCAAGTGCAGTGCAACAGCTATTGGAAAAAAACTACAGAATTCATTGTTCGGTCCATAATACTGTAAGTAGAAAATGTTTCTATAGTTTCACTGATTTGTTTTCCTTTAAAATGTCCTATTTTTATTCTTTTAAATCTATCATTATGAGATTATTTTGTACATTCCATAGGATCCTTAAAAGATAGCAGTATAATGCTAACTAGCAAAATTTTGACTTGAATTCTAACAAATCAGTGTTTTGTATTCTGTGGAACAGATCTGAGCAAGCTTGGTTACTCTACCCGCTCCTCTTTAATTACTGACAGTTGTTTTTAGCTGTAACAAGCATCAGATTCAGCAGTTAGAATTTCCCTAAAGGTGTAGATTCATGTAGCTTGCTCAGCTTAAATTGTGTACAATTTACTGTCCTCTGAATTGTGACCATCCCTTATTGCTCACATAGCAATTATAAAGTTACTATTTTCTTTATAACTTTTAGCACTCAGAAATTAAAATAATTAGAATAAAGTAAAAGCTGAATAGATTTTTTATTGTGAGCCTTATGCCACTTAGCATCTGTGCAACACTTTCTTTAAACAAGTGTGCACACATGCACATATCCATATATAAGGAGTGTGTGATGATTGCTAACTTTTTGGTTTTCAGTTTAAGTAGACAAAGGCAACTTTATTTTGTACTTTTTATGATTCTATATGATTTTAATGTATCACAATATGATTTCCATTTTCTTTTTTATGGATAAAGTCATTATATAATCTGCCTAAGTAAAAAAATATTAAGCTAGATTAAGAAAAATCTTTGGATAAAAGATGTGAATTAAGTATAAAATACTTAATATTCTCAAGGTTGGAGAGGTCATCTCTGAGAAAAATTAGCTGGTTAGGTGAAATCTGTGGCAAGAAAATGTGAGTTATTTTGAAAGGATTAACAATTGCTTTAAAATTTAGTTTACAGTTTCAATTGTTTCGTGAAGTCTGAAACTGGTAACTATTTCAGAATTTTAAAGAAAAATGCCAATATACGTGATTACTCATTCAAGTTATACTGAGTATTTGTTATGTGGTAAAGGTCAACCACTTAACTAATTAGAGATCCAAGTCTTACACAAACAATCAGGCTTTCCAAACTGTTATAACAGATATGTATTAAAAGTGACTATTTTATGACTTACTGAACTAAAAAAAAAAAGAGTCAGGGTGATTCATTAAAGATATGTTGTTCATTTATTCTGAATCTTATATTGATAGATAATACCAGAAGATTTCAGCATAGCAGATAAAATACAGCAAATCCTAACCAGCACAGGTTTTAGTGACAAACGGGCCCGTTCCATGGACATAGATGACTTCATCAGGTAATTACATTTTTGTTTCCTAAGTCTTTACATTTCTTTACTGTGACACCTTCAGATTAGAGATTTAAAGGCTTTTAAGCGGTATAAGGTGCTACCTGGGAGAGTTATTGCATAGCACTTCCATGGCATGGAATAGTATTTGGTGTAGAAGATGGAGGCTAGTTAGCTGCAGCAGAATGACCATTTTGTTTTCATAGTAGTAAAAAACAGTCTGAGCCAGAAGGTTGCCTCTGTGTTAATGTGTGTTGTGGTGTACATGCTCCTCCCTTCCTGCTCCTTCCCCCAACTCTCATTCACGGTCCTTGTCTTAATAGCTTGTCCCTCCAGAGTAGCCCATAAGGCAGAAAAAATCAAAGTATGTGTAACTGGATCTAATTTTTTTTATTTCCTTATTGGGAATAGCTGTTGTTATATAGATCTTAAGCATGAAATAATGCCAGTTAAAGTCATACCTGGTTATCCATTTAGTAATACAGTTAGTTGGTTTGTAGCCTGAGGCAGGTTCTACATATCTTGGGTAAAAAGGTGTCATAATTATCTGGGCAATTTAGACCAAAATCTGTTTTCCTTTAAGTAAGCAAGTAAGTCTTATGAAAGCAGAGTAAGGCTTCAGTTAATTACCCAGGTAATTATTAACCTATACTCTTTGTTTTTAATTAACACATTAACTTTCAGAAGTTCTTGCCTATTTAGCCAATTCACTTTTAAAGCTTCCATATTCTAGAGGCTGAATGAGGGTAGATTGTTACAGAAGTCATTGGTTTTACTTTTTCTAAGCTGGAAACACAGTTCTATATTACTAAGACAAATGCTGTCATTACTGCTGAGTCTTTATTAGATGTTAGTCCTAGGTGTTGAACACTATTCCTAAGTACCTACTTTGCTTTTTCAGACATTTTAATTTACCTGGACCTGTTCCTATGAGCTAGCCTAAAAATAATTTCAGGTCGAAACAAAAATATTTTATCTTCCTCCTTTTTCACTGAATTTCCTCAAGGTTATTGAGCATGTGCAGTTTGCTAACTAAAATCTAATAAAAACAGGTATTCCACAGAGAGAAACAGGTGTAAGTATTTGAACCTCAAAACAGCTCAGAAAGGAAGAATGGGCATATTAAGATTGGTCATTTATCTGACTTCTACCTCTAATTCTAAACAGCTTTTGTTCCTTTACCATGTTGAAATGGAACAAATGCCAGTGAGCTCTTAGATCGGGGATAGTCGAAGTCTAAGACAATTCTAGTCAAATTCATTATAACTAAGACATATAGGCTACAGTGAAAGAGGCACCAACATGACATGGTTTTAACCAATATATATCATATACATTTAGTTGGACAGTAAGGTTTCTTTAATGACTCGTGTGAGGAGTGGGTGGGCTGCATGAGTATGCTGACGTGTTGTTTTAGAATTACTGGTATAGAATTATACACCATTATGTGCCACATATTAGCTTTTCAATACCATTCCATTCTGGTTTCTTTTTTTCAGATTGCTACATGGATTCAATGCAGAAGGTATTCATTTTTCCTAGGTATTTGGAAAACAGAATTTTCAAGGTCAAGAAAAGAAATTATGTATTTTCATCATTTGAGAAGATGAACTTTGCTTTTGCTCTACTGGGACGTTATTTATTTGACTATTTTTGGCTTAAAACTACTGTTGTCACCAATTATTCTAAATTTTTAAGGTGGTCAGTAATAAGGTCCTAAGTTTTTTGGGTTTTGGTTTGTTTTTAATATATAACATAGGGCAGGGGCCAATCTATTCATAATAATCTTCAAGTTCAAGAGCCGCAGATACGCACAACTTCATACTTAAATTTATCATTTCTAACAGTTTATCATATAAAGATGTTACTTTTCTATTTACTGTGTTATATACCGTGAGAGCCTTTAGCTCTGTCCCTCAAGTAGTAAAAAAGTTAAAATATGCTTCTCTAGTCACATATTTCCCATACCATTTCTTGTTATTCACATGTACAGTAAAACAATTGTCTCTTAAAGTGTTTTTACTTTGCTTCTCTCATTCTGTTCCATATTTATCCTATACAGTGTCTCCTCTTATTGCCTCTTGAGCTATTCTGTAGCATCATAGACTACATCAGGGTTCTGGGAACCCTGAGTCTGCTGCTGCCACTATGCTGTGCTGGGCATATTCTGGGCATGACTTCTTACTTGTAAAATGAGAAGCTCAACTATAATGAAATTAACTATAAAATTATGGTTTTTCTTGGGGGAAAAAGTATAGGTGTAGCAAAATTTCAAAGGGCTTTTTAAATCAAAACAGGTTTTATAATTAAAATCTGTTTTCAACTTTAAAAAAACAGTCATTTCCCCACAACTATACATTCCCAGTATTCATGACTATGGATAATTAAAATTTCCAGTATTTTTTCATATACCTGGTGCTTAGTTTTAAGCTATTTTAAAACTGTCAGATTGAGAATTTCAATAGCAATTTCATTAGCAAGTCTTATTAGCTACTATGTTTAATCAGTGTAATACCCAGTGATGTTAATATACTTGAATAGAGAATTATAGTAGCTATTTTATTGATATAAGAAAATTAATAAAAATATCTTCATTGATATTTGGCTTTCTTTACACCTAACTTAATAGAAGGAGTATTTTCACTTAATTTAGCACAGCCAGATTTTGAAATCTGGCTTCAAAGTCATATAGTAATGTTACCACACAGTTAAAATAATGCATGTTCTTATTTATTAATAGGGATATCAGCTTTCAAGTCTAAGAAAGTACTAAAGAATGCTTAATCCAGAACAAAAAAATTAAAGTTACTTAGCTCCATCAACCCACTTTTGTTATATGAATATTAATTATACTTAAGGGTAGATTTTTTTTTTTTAACTTCAAAAACTACTTTGCAAAGTTCATTGGTACCATTCTATCCTTACAGAGTAATTTTAAGATTTAACTCAGCTTTCTTAGGTCATTTCCTTCTATGCCTATGAACTGCTGAGTTTTTAATGCCTTTTCTGGCCTTCAGTTTTCCCTATCTGTAAAGCTGAAGGACTGAATTATACTACCTCCAAGATCTTTTTGGTATTAATTTTTAAAATACCTTGACTCCTAATCTGAATGGAGCCATCATAGTATAAGGCAGTGTATTTGTCTATAAGGAGACCTTCCAAAGATAGTACCCATCCATTGCAAAAATAAATTAAAGCTGATCTGTTGTGCTTTAAAATGAACAAGTTCACATCTTTATTGCCCTTTGAAGCTTGGTTATTCTCAAAAACTATGCTTTTAAATAGGCTCTGCAAGGCCAATAGTAACAGTTCTCCATTCTTCCTCTTCCCTTTGAAATAAACACAAATAGAATATATTTTACAACTGCAAGAAAACCTGAGTCCCTTCCAAAACAAAGGTGATTGTATTGAAGTAAATTATCTCTAAAACTCATTCCATAGATTTATTAATAAGCATACTGTGAAAATCTACATTTGTATCAGATTTCATGTTTACAGAGCTTTTCACCATGGTGTTAGGAGCTTTCACAACTACCCTCTGGGTTTTATGAACAATGAAGTAAAGAATCTGGCTCATGTGACTCTCTATTCATAGCTTCCCTTTGGCCCATATGAATGAGCTAGTTCCCTAGAGTAAATCAAAGCAAGATATCCTTGGGAGATTTTTTGGTGGGTAATCTACTCCTGGACTCTATCCTGGGAACTGAGGGAAAACTCCTAGAGAGATATATAAATCTTTCAACAAAATATTTACATGAAAAGTGGCCAGTTTTTTTCCTTGGAGTAGCAATCTGTAAAAATAAGTGCTGCCATTTAAAAAGTAGCATACCCTACACCGATCTATTGGTGAGAATTTGGTGATTCTCACCAAATAATGGTGAAATTTCACATTTGGTACCAGATGGAGCTTGGATCTGCCTTTTAAGGCAAAGTCAACTCTTTTTCAGCTTAATTCTTTTCCAAGGGAGTTATGTACTGTCAACACTTGGCTTAAACTAACTTCTATTATCGACTACTCTCAGTGTACATATAATGTTCATGCATCAGAAGCCAATTTCCTTTAACAGTACATAAAAGTACATTTTGGGGTGCTAATGAACACTTGAAATTAAGAAATGTATTGGTAAGGATCAAATTGCACTATTAGTCTTGTTAATACCACACTGGCACACACACTGCATATATATGTATTTTCCTAAGATAAAACTCTTCTCAGAATTTCATTACTTTTATTATACACCAACTAGTTTATATTTTAGTTCTTTACAAAGAAAATGCTAAGAAAATTATAATCACATGTTATATGGTTTTAAAATCATAATTCCAGATTTCTTTACATATAAGATGGAATGGTCCAGCAGCTATGTCCACTGTCACAGACTTTAGTTCCGTTCAATGATATGGCACATCCTGCAAAATTAACTAGTCACACACAAAAAAATGGTTCAAATACAGTAAAAATGTACACGCAAAGGTAATTTACAATGACAAATAAGGAATGTAGTTTATCTTGGCTGTGCTTCAGAAATTTAGGGTTAATAGCCTTAGTCAAGGCACAAAGCAGGAAGAGGTGAGCACAGCTGTCTCTAGGAGTGGGCAAGGTATGTACAATCACTGATGAGGTATGCATGCACGCAAAGGATTTAAAACTGCTCAGTCTCGCTACAAAAATTGAACCGAGTTAAAAGGAAATGCTGTGGCTTCCCTCTACTATCCACCTCTGGATCGAGTCCGCAATCTTCATCACATAGAAAATAAAACTGGCAAGGATCTCCAAAAGTAAATCACTATTCGGGTAAATGAAACAAAATGCTTCACTAATCCCGATTCTTGGTTGTGCCTCCTGGATTAGAAGCATTTTGTAGACAAAGGAGTGTTTCACAAAATTGAAATGTCATTCAGGTGAAGGACAAGACATTTTCCACAGACACTTAATTTCAAACTTTCAAATGGCCCTTACAGCTGAACCATTGTATGTTACAGTAGTGAGGGTTCTGGGGATCCTTTAGCAGCAAATGCCAATTTAAAGGGCACGGGGTCTTTTCGGATTTATCTGCTTGCTGGCTTGTTCTTCTTCTTGTAGAGCAGCACGAAAAGATTTCACTTTATCTTGGAAAAAGAAAAGAACAAGGGAATAAGTATTGTATTACATGCAATACAGTTTACAACTTTATGGGTCCTATCAAGTCAACTATGTTATTTCTTAACAGTAACTCAGTGTTTTTCCTTTTGTTCTCTATCAGGTAGAAACTCAGAACTAAATAATTGTTACAGATCCCCAAAATACCTATGTTTCTATCAACAGGCTTCTGTTTGGCACATTTACAGTTTTCAATTTTAATTTATTTGAATTCCTTTTGGAGTATAGGCAGGTTTTATATGTGTAAAATATGTACAGTCATGTCAAAAAGGAAAACTGTGCTTCTTACTAAACTGTTAAATTGACATTTCTTCTCTCAATAGTAGGAGATTTCTACTCCCCATTCCTATTTTACCTTTAGCTTAAAAAGCTATGAAATTTTAAAAGATATTTGAATTTTTAAAAAGGAATGACTTTTTTCCTAATGGTGAGGGCGGATTGTAACGGGGGAATGACAAAACAATACATTGCTTGCTCTTTACGTATTCTGTCCTACTGTCTATAACATACTGATCTATAGTCATATAAGAACTAGAAATAGGTTAGTAATTTGTCAGAGGCAAAATTACAGGCAGCTGTCTAAAGATGAGACATCTTTCTTTAATAGTGGTTCTCACCTGGGAGTGATTTTCACCCCCCAGTGTACATTTTTGTCACAACTGGTGTGGTGCTACTGTCATCTAGTGGATGGAAACCAAGGATACTGGTGACCATTGCACAATGCACAGGACAGCACCCCTCAACAAAAATTTACCTGGCCCAAAATGTTAATAAAACCCTACTCTATAACCTTCAGAAGAAAAGTTTCAATTTCCTTCCCCTTTTCAGAAGTATAATGATGTTTAAAAAATTAACTTTCTCAAATTTAGAAAGAAATTTAAGGACTTCTGGAGCTAGTGTCTGCTAATATAATAGCTCTCAAACCTCTCTTATTAATCCAAAATTATCTCTGGATGGTAAGAAAAAACTTTAATTTCTAAGAAAGGACTGAAAAATGCAGTATCTAGATAGTAATTTCTTCAAAGTTATGGATATGCTTACTATACATAAATTCTGAGAAAAGGAAAGTCAAGTTGAATGCTATATATTACTAAGAAAAATATTAGAGTGCATTATGATCTGTCTTCTGAATATAAAATGCACACAAAAGCTGATTGTGAATTATTACAGATTAGAGAAATGATCAAGACAATTTAAATCAAGGCGTGAGTATGAACATCAAAAACAAATGTAAATTTTAGGGAAACAGTCACAGAATATGGTTTCAAACAACCAACTTCACAACCATTCCACAATGTATGTAGGCTGAACATCCCAAATCCAAAAATCCAAAATCTAAAATGCTCCAAAATTTAAAACTTTGAGGGCCAACATTATGCTCAAAGGAAATGCTCACTGGAGCGTTTCAGATTTCTGGATTTGGAATGTTTAACCAGGAAGTATAATGCAAATATTCCAAAATCTGAAAACATCCAAAAATCCAAAATGCTTCCAATTCTAACTATTTCAGATAAGGGACATACAACCTGTATATACTTCAAAACATCACGTTGTACATAACAAATACAATTTTATCTGTCGATGTAAATAAAAAAGTTGTGGGGGAAAAAAACCAAAACAAATGACCAACTTCATGAAGGGCCTGCTTTAAAAAATTAAGCAGCTTATTTGCTGCCCAAAACTAGGAATTGCAATCTGGTTTACATTGCATTGCATGTACACACACATACAGTCCCCCACTCACACATAAACAGAGCCAATAGTTTGTCAATGCCTAAAAAATTAGCACACAGAAGAGAGCATATCTGAAGCTACACAGATAAGCCTATTAAAAAGGCCAAAAAGACATGGTGTGTAGGTAAGTCACATTCTTCTCTTCATGAGTTAAGGTAGAGAGGGTAGTCCTCTTGACACTTTTACCTTCATTTTTAAAGAACAAAGTGTTCAAAGAAAAACATCACACAAGATGGTGCAGAAAGAAGCAGCAGACACGAGGCTATTGAAAGATGACCCTGAATAGACCTAACCTAAGAAAATTCTAATAAGCACCAACCTACCAAATTAAAAATCTGAATGTGTACATAAAATTTACAAATTTGTTATAATACATTTTTCTCTTTAATCATAAGATGTCTTTATTTTCCCAAAAGACTAAAAAAAAAGATGACTAGGGAGAATCTGAAATGATACTCCACGTTTTCTAGAAAAACTGAATGGTTGGTCTTTATACCTCTGGAAAGATGGTGCTAAATGGTGCCCATAATTTTCACTTCAGATGTCCTCTTGCAATATGAAATCCTCCCACTAACATACATACCAATACCAAGCAGATTTCAAACACTAAGATGAAAAAAGAATTACCCCGCAGCTCAGTTAAAATGTCTATTTTTTGCTCAAGAATAGCTTCAAGTTGTGTAGCATATGAATCTACATCATAGTCTACTTCTTCAGTCATCTCTAGAAGAGCCTTTTCATCTTCTAACCATCGAATAGATTCCTAAAAGGACAAAAATTCAATAATACAATAAGCCTCTCTGTAAAACAAACCAATTTATAGATTCTGTTAAATATAATCAAACATACTTAATAAGGTATTCTCTAAAATTTTAATACACATAAAACATCTTTATTCACAGATGATAAAATTAAGAAATATAGTTAACCCCTGAACACAGGTTTGAACCGACAGGTCCACTTACACGCCAACTTTTTTTAATATCAGTTACACAGAGTGTGCCTGCTTCTGTTGCCTCCCTTTCTACCTCCTCCACCTCTGCTGCCTTTGCAACCCCAGAGAAAGTAAGACCAACCCCTCCTCTTCCTCTTCCTCCTCAGCCTACTCAATGTGAAGACAAAGAGGATGAAGACCTTTATGGTGATCTACTTTCATTTACATGAACATTAAATATATTTTCTTTTCCTTATTATTTTCTTAATAACATTTTCTTTTCTCTAGCTAATTTTAGTGTAAGAATACAGTATATAATACATGTAACATATAAAGTATGTGTTAACTGACTGTTATCTATCGGTAAGGCTTCTTCTGGTCAATAGTAGGATATTAGTAAAGTTTTGGTGGATTCAAAAGTTATACACATAATTTCAACTGTGTGTGGAGTCAGCACCCCTAACCCCTGCATTATTCAAGGGTCAACTGCATTTCCTTAAATTTGAACACAAACACATAAGATGGGCTGGGCAAGATCACCTCATTTCTCTATTTTTACTCTACCTTGAATGGGGATTTGGGGGAAGAAATGAATCAAACACATAAATGAGAAGACTAAGTCTCAAAACCTCAATGGCTGTCCCTAAAACGGGGGGAAGAACAGGCATGATAAAGCTACTAAGCAATTTGATGGGGGCTATGGTACCCCAACACTTGTAAGACATCTGCAGTTAACATATCCAGTTGGGGCTTTACATTGGTTGGGCCAAGAGGTAACCCTAAATTCTAAATACCAGCTCTTCAAAATTATTGTGACTATAAGGGACCAATGGATAGCCAATTTTAGAAGAGTCAAATGAACCTCTAAATAGTAGCTACTTACTGTTCATAAATGCTTCAAGTTTATTCTTAATTGATTTTAGGTACATGGAGCCTATGAATTTCACTTTCTAGCAATGTCATATATCACACAGATACTAACAAGGCCAGATCATTCTGAATGAAACAGCTTTTTAGACACTAAAAATACGTACTTTCTAGCTTTTTAGGAAGAATACAATCTCAATTTTCTAGACATCAATTCACTTTAATGGCTAATTACAATGAGACTATACATCACCAGACAAAACTGGTTAACTTAGGTATACCTATTAGAAAATATATATGTATTGATTAGAAAACACAAATATACCCCAATATTTTTTCTTTTCCTTCAGTTATACACTTAATTTTTGTTTAAGAAAACCCTATTTTGAAAGCAGCAAATCCTAACCATGAGACCACCAGGGAGCATCAAAACCCTATACTGAAAAATGGCAGATCATAATATGGAGGAATGATATATGGAATTGTAAAAAGAAACTGAATTAAAAGCCAGAACACCCAGTTCTGTCAATAAACAACTGAAACTTTATCTATAAAATGGCAGAGTGGGAAATAATTGTCTTTATATATACAAC